TCTTTGTACCTCTATCCCCTCTTCTCCTCCTCATAAGAAAACCATTGTTTTTAAGAACTTGCCACACAATTCCCCTCCAGAAACTCTTGAAGACATCCAAAACTTCCTTAAAATGACCCATGTGAATGCTCTGCTCCCTCATCCAACTTCTAATCTCTCAGTTCCTATTTGCTCTACATTCAAAGTATTTGCTTCCATCCATCCTCCTCCTCAAGTTTCTTTAACATCAAAAAAATTTTTCCTAATTTTTAAATGATTTTTACCCTTTTTGCCACAATACTTTACCATAGTGCTACGCATATTTATTTTTTTTAAACATTAATCATTAATCCTTACCTAAACCCATTTACTCACCCTCTCAGTGCTGTACTCTCCTGAACTACTATATGACTTTTAACATGTAGCACATTTAATCCCTTAGTGGATGGACCAGTTGTACACACCACACCTCAGAATGGCTGTACTGTTGTGTAATTATTATGTCACTGAAAATTCTGGCCCTGTCGTGATAGAGTTAATCATCACCTCCTCTTTACACTTTTCACTACTTTCAACTTTCTCAAGTGCTATATGACCTTTGATGTCTAGCACTTTAATTTTGCTTTATAACCATTATTCATTATACATAGATGGCTTCATAAGTGCTTAGTCACATTTACTTTGGCCCTCTTGATCTGACCTCTTTATCCTATTCCTGGAATCTTAAGAAAAAAAGTTTTATTCCTAATATACCTAACATATCTTCCTGCAAATCCAATGAATTAGGAAATCATGTGCATTCATTACTTCCTACTTACTGACGTCCTACTTACTGACTTCCTTGGTGGCTGAGTACTTGTGGAGCCATCTTTGTGCAACAGATTTTTTAAAAAGTGGACAGTACATAAACCCCAGGGCAAAAGGGTCAATGAACTGAATAATAGATATAACCCCCAGTGATTATAAAAAAATGTTACACCTCACCCCAAAAAAATAAATAAACAAATAAATAGATTAATTGTTTTTAAGCCAACAGTTGGGATTTGATTCTAGTTTTAACTTGTGTTACTAATTTTTACTTAGATTTGGGATTGTGAGTTCTTTTTTCTTCTTGTTTTTTTTCTTGCAGTATCCTTTTTTATCCTTTTCCTGAATAGACTAAGCTTACATGTATCATTTTGAGTTTAAAAAGCATAAAACCAGTGTTCAGATAGTAGGTGCAGGTGAAGATATTGATAGCTATAAGAAAATACCTGTGATTATTTAGCCATTTTATTTTTATTATTATTATTTACTAGAACTGAGTTCTGCTGCATTTGGTTTAATCAACAATACTATTAACATATTTTTGTTTTTAGGTGTCTGACTGCAGTTCAGCAAAGCGGGGAGGTGATCTTGGTCTGTTTGGCAGAGGTGCAATGCAGAAGCCATTTGAAGATGCTGCATTTGCCCTTAAGGTTGGAGGACTTAGCCAGCCTGTTGATACTGACTCTGGTGTTCACATCATCCTCAGGACAGCATAACCATCTTAAGAAATTCTGTTATATGTTACCGAGCAAATTTTATTCCAAATTGTTTTATCATGTATCAGACTATAGATATTAAGGTATTTCTTATTATTATTTATGAAAATAACCAAACACATGAACTTATTAACTAACACTCCAAAGGAAAAAAAATCATGGTTTATGTTAGTTAAATAAAGCATGCATGGTAGATCATAAATCCCTTACCCAATAAAATTTCATGTTCAAATTTGTTTTATTGAAAATGTGCCTTATATGATTTGTGTTATATGTCCCAAGTCTTTGAAAAGTAAAATATGAATAAAGATTTGAAAAAGGGGCAATGATTTAAAGCTTACTAGGGCAAAGGGCAAGAAATGCTTAAGCCCTGATGTACGTGCGGCCTAGGATGTTTTCAAGTTGTGGAATGTTGGTATTGAACTCTTTTATTTTATTTTATTTATTTCTTTTTTTTTAATGAAATGAATTCAATAGAAGTTATTGTGTGTGGCAGATAAAAATTAGAAGTAAATGCAGATATACTTCATATGCAAGAAAAATGGTATGAAGAAAGTCTATGCAATAATAGACTCAGATGTTACAAATGCAAAAAGCATCACCATTTGCCATTAACATTGTATTAGAAATGCAATTGTACAGAAATTAATGAACAGCAGAAAACAATTATTCAGAAAGTAGAAGTGGACCAGAAACTAAGTGATCTGACACAAGGTAAAGGTGCATCAGCACAACCCAGAATAAAGAACTAGGTGCTAAATAGGATTCTGCTGAAACAATTGCAACTCAAGAAACATCATTAGGTCATGTTGAAAGAGGATATATTTGGAGAAAACAAATGAGTAAAATACAGGAAGAGTGTGACTTAAGTATGACTGGAGAATTATCAGTAAATAAAGCAAGACTAATTAGATCCAAACTTCCTAAATATCATCATGTATGAAATGAGTTTTATGTAAGGATACTAAGAAAAAAAAGTAAAGATAAGACTTTTAATG